AACTGGTTCAACAGTTGGAGAATTCAGGTCCTCTAGGTAAGCATCTATGCATTCACGGACTCTTGAGCTTCTCTTGGCTGTTTGTGTACAGATTTGACCATATAGCATATGACTGCGTCTGTGACTGGGTGCTTTATGGCTGTGCTGGTGGTGGTGTTCCTCTTGCCTTCTTTTCGTTTCCGTGCACATTCTTCACCACGATTCTTCTTTTGCGAGGCTCTCCTGGTTGATCGGTTGCTGTGGTGGTAGTCAACTTCGTTGGTGTTGTTGGTGTTTGATGGTTGAGAGGGCTGAGATCGAAGGATGGAATGTCGTCTTCCCTTGTCACTTTAGGCTTCTCAGCAGCTTTGGTTGTCAGTTTTGGAGCCTCTTCTCGAACAACATCATCTGACACCGTTTTCTCGCTGTCAGTTTCTACAGTCTTTTGCGCAGCTTCCCCTGTATTCCCTTCTTCTGTTGTTTCCTTATCAACATCCATTGGATCTGCTGTTTTGGTAGCTCCTTTTTCTTCTGTTTCTTTTGCAGATGTCTGTTCTGGAACTGCTTTCGGGGTGTCCTCTTGTTGTGGTGTTCCCTGATTCAGACCTTCTTGAACAGATTGTGCTGGTGGTTCTGTTGCAACTTTCCCCAGTGGATCTCCTTCTTGGATGCTTTCCCTATCCACAGCTCCTGGAGCAGAATCATCTTGCTCCTTTTCTTTTGCCTTCGGTGTAGATGCAGCAAGATCAACTGTAGATGGTTGTGAATCATCTTCTTTCTGTGTTTGCTCCTCATTCTCCTCTTCGTTCTGGTCTATCTTTGTCTGTTTGAATATTTCATTGAGTGTTTTATTCAAACTGGCATTAATTTCTTCATCATTCTCTTCTTCATCATCTTCAGAATGAGATTTTTCTCCTTCTGTGGGCTGAACATATTCATCACAGCTTTCTTTCGCAAGATTCTCCTTGTGTCTGATCAGATTGTCAATTTGGCTTTTGTACTGGTCTTTGTTTGCTTTCATCATTGCCTTCATTGATGCTTCAAGCAGTTTGATTGCATTCTCAGCCTGCATAATGGGAGTTTTTGTAAGATACCATGGTGGTAATGTGTGTATGGTGTATGGTTAGTTACCATGGTGGTAATACATGGTATTGGCAATTATTATCACTATTCTGCATTTTTATAACATGAAACTATATCTTACCACACCTTACCATATGGTAACAAAGTAAAACAGAACAAAAATTATGGTTTCCTCCATTTTTATAACATGAAACCATTGCTTACCACACATTACCATATGGTAACGTAGTAAAACACAACAGGACTTATGTTTTCCTCCATTTTTATAACATGAAACCAAAGCTTACCACACCTTACCATATGGTAACAAACTAAAACACAGAAGGACTTATGGTTTTTTGCTATTTTAAAACATGAAACTATATCTTACCACACCTTACCATATGGTAACAAAGTAAAACAGAACAAGAATTATGGTTTCCTCCATTTTTATAACATGAAACCATTGCTTACCACACATTACCATATGGTAACGAAGTAAACCACAACAGGACTTATGTTTTCCTCCATTTTTATAACATGAAACCATAGCTTACCACACCTTACCATATGGTAATAAACTAAAACACAGAAGGACTTACGGTTAGCATGAATTGGACAACTGTAATATAGATAATTTGTACTTACTTGGTTGACTGTTCTGATATTCTTCAAATCAAAGTTCAGTGATGATGACTGGTCTGGACTTTTGTTTCTTTGTTTATTCGGTGATTGATAGACTGGCTCATTCTCCTCTTCCTCATCAGTTGCATCATCAGCCTCATCGTCACTAATGTTGGCAACCTTTTCGATCTCGTTCAACTCTTTTCCATTGTAGTAGCTCTTAATGTTCTCAAAGTTGCTATCAACATTGTTATCATCATAGTAGCTTACTGTTGGTGTTCGAAGCTGGGTTGAGAATGCCATTTCGTCCAGTTTGTACATGAAGCATACCTTTTTATGCAGATAGTTGTATTAGTTTTTTCAAAGAGTATCATTTATATATAAAATATATGAGTAACAAGGTTGAAATGGCCAAGGGAATGGAGACTTACTGTAAGGAAGTGAAGATCTGCACTGACGTAGAGGGTTGGTGATTTCAACCCTTCATTCATGTGGTTGAAGAAGTATTTGCACCAGTTGTAGCTGGTGAAATGTTTCAGTTCATCAGTCTTCAAGTACTCAAGCATGTTGACTTCTGTCATAGGGGCTGAAGTTGCGCACAGCAAGCCTCCGGTGACCAGCAGAAAGAACAATTGTAACCATCTCTTACTGTCTGTAGTTGTAGGAAGATCTTTTTCTACCTGACTTAGCTTTACCCTTGGAGTGGATGCTCCATCTACTTCCAGTAGGGTTTCTATTGCATAATCTGCTGCGTCGTCCCAAGAAATCATGGGAGGTACAACTTCCCTATTCCCCATTGGCAGACCATATACCCTATGAAAGTCGATTGGTGATATCTTCATGCGTGTCCCGTCAGGTAGCTTGAACGATTGTTTCATTGGATTGTATTTGTTCATTACGAACAGTGCAAAATGGTTGTTTATCTTTGTCTGCTTGATTGATATTAAGCCTGCTAGGCCTAATATCTCAAGTTTCTCTTTCTGCTCATCTTTTATTGTCCTTGCAATTGCAGATACTCTTGTTGGGCTGCACCTTGTGCGAAAAGTTTTTCTTTGCTTTACCATAGTGTACCTGAATGTAGAAATTAGGAATAGTCTGTTAGCATGTTTTTTACCATAATATACCATATGGTACCATAATGGTTTCCTACCATACCAAAACAAACCATATATTTATCACATTTTACCATATGGTAATTACATGAAACCATGTCTTATAACATCTTACCATATGGTAACGAAGTAAAACACAACAGGACGTATGTTTTCCTCCATTTTTATAGCATGAAACCATAGCTTACCACACATTACCATATGGTAACAAACTAAAACACAGCAGTACTTATGGTTTTTTGCTATTTTACAAGATGAAACCATAGCTTACCACACATTACCATATGGTAACAAACTAAAACACAGCATGACTTATGGTTTTTTTGCTATTTTACAACATGAAACCATAGCTTACCACACATTACCATATGGTAACAAACTAAAACACAGCAGGACTTATGGTTTTTTTTTTGCTATTTTACAACATGAAACCATAGCTTACCACACATTACCATATGGTAACAAACTAAAACACAGCAGGACTTATGGTTTTTTGCTATTTTACAAGATGAAACCATAGCTTACCACACATTACCATATGGTAACAAACTAAAACACAGCAGGACTTATGGTGTTTTTGCTATTTTACAACATGAAACCATAGCTTACCACACATTACCATATGGTAACAAACTAAAACACAGCAGGACTTATGGTTTTTTGCTTTTTTACAACATGAAACCATAGCTTACCACACATTACCATATGGTAATGAACTAAAACACAGCATGACTTATGGTTTTTTGCTTTTTTACAACATGAAACCATAGCTTACCACACATTACCATATGCTAACAAACTAAAACACAGCAGGACTTATGGTTTTTTGCTATTTTACAACATGCAATCATAGCTTACCACACATTACCATATGGTAACAAACTAAAACACAGCAGGACTTATGGTTTTTTGCTATTTTACAACATGCAATCATAGCTTACCACACATTACCATATGGTAACGAAGCAAAACACAACAGATTCTACATCAGTTCAGCAACGCATGGTAACAATTCGGTAATTTAGCGAGTTTACTACAATTTTCACATGAAGAGTGACTGAGATACTGTTTCTATTGTTCTGTGGATGGATTTCGAAGAAAGAAGTGAGGTTTTACCTTGATATTTTGTGCGAAAACGATTTTTGAGCCTCGTTGAAGTTGGAAACCCTTCATTTTTCGACCAAGAAGTGAGAACAGTGTATCGTTGAATGATTCTTCGAAAACCTTTGCGAAAATCGTTCGATTTGAAGTTTATTTTGTGTTTTTTCTGGAAGTTTTTGCTGCGATTTTGGTGAGAGAATTGAGGATCGGGAGGAAGAATGGAGAGTTAGAGAGCAAAGGGAAGTGGAACTGTCGCTTGAAAGGTGAGAGAAAGAAGGAGAGAAGGCGGGACGGTTGTCGTTGTCACGTCTGCAATTCAAATTGTCAGAGACGTGATTACTATTTTGCCCCCGAGTGTAGTGAATTTGCCTGATCTGACGGCTGGAAAGATGGCGCGATGGACGGTGAGATGGATGGTTACTGACCGTTACTGATAGGTCGGTTACTGAGGTGATCCGGACCCATCTGAAACTGTAATCACCGACATCACTCGAGTTTCCACTTCCTGAATCGCTATTCATCGCCCTAAAATTTAGATTTTATCGCCCTAAAATGCATCAAATCGACACTTTTACCCTCTGACCTCAATTTCTAATCAAAACCTTAAACAAACAATTTCATACCCTGCCCAACCGCCGCCGAGCTCCATTGTCCTCTAGGCGCTGTTGCCGCTATCGGATCCTTCTCCCCGGCAGTTGCCCACCTCAACCCGACCACAACCGATGCTCTGCTTCTAGCCGGAGGATGAAGAAGACAGAGAAAAAGGAGGCCGCCACCCACCTCCTGCTGCTGCCGGATTCTTCATTCCGACCCACAGCCCTCCTTTTGTCAAGAGTTGGTAGAAACCTTCTCTCCAACAACATAATCCCATTCCCAGTGAGAAACACCTTGAATTAACTTCATTTTCTTCTTCTTAGCTTACTTCATGAGGTTTAGAGTAAGAGTTTCCAATTGAAAGCAACTGAACACAATCCATACAATTCTTCAGAAAGAGTTCCAAACTGGCCCCTTAAGAATTGAAATGACGAGCAACAATTTGTTCCAGTAAAATCAGCCGTACAAGTAAAGCCGAGGGATCGTGATTTCTAGAAAGAAAGCCATCGAAGAACATTCTAGGGAGAAATCTATCTCCATCCCACTCAATGATATCGAGAGCCACGCATTACAAATATTAAACTAAGGATATTTGAGTCATTTCGATAAAATTTAGGGCGACGAATAAGATATTTTAGGGCGACGTATAGCAATGCCCTTCCACTTCCCCCCTCCTTCCTTCCAGCATCCAATTGAATTGAACATCAGAAAGATACCTCCGGTTTCCAAGAACCCTAACTCGGCCAGTTGGTTTCTCCAGCCGAAGCCCGAGTGGATGGACACTCACTCTCACCTGACTGCACCCAATCGTTCCCGCAGTTCCCAGTCACCGTCCCCTTCCCACTCCGCCTCCGCCTCCGCCACCTCGTCTATGCACAAGCGCAAGCTAGCCGCGGCAGCCTCGGCTGCGTCTGACGACCACGCTCCTCCTCCATTCCCTCCCTCTTCCTTCTCCGCCGACACTCGCGACGGCGCGCTGACCTCCAACGATGACCTCGAGAGCATCTCGGCCCGCGGAGCCGACTCCGACTCCGACGATTCCGACGCCGTCGTTGACGAAGACGACGACGAGTTCGACAATGACTCCTCTATGCGCACATTCACTGCTGCTCGTCTGGAGACGAATGCAGGCGCCTCGGCGGCTGGCACGGGCTCCGGTGGGGTCGGGGGAGGGAGTTCTTCCTCCGGTCGTAATTCGAAGCTAAAATCGGAGAATGCGACGGTGAAGATTGAGAATCCGGGCGGCGGGAAGGATGGAGGTCTCGCTGGGACGGCTGCAGGGGGTTCCGCTACTGCAGGGAGCTCGGCCGCAGGGGCTGTGGCGAAGGAGGATTCTGTTAAGATATTCACCGAGAATTTGCAGACGAGTGGTGCTTATAGTGCTAGGGAAGAGAATCTGAAGAAAGAGGTGTGGCTATTGGAATTGAGAAATTTCATTCCTTTCTTACAATTGTATTTAGGATTTGGAATTGTTGAACCAGGCGCTCTTCTTCTCTTTTGATCATTTCTCAAATTGGGGATTACGTTTCAGGAAGAAGCTGGCAGGCTCAAGTTCGTTTGTGTTTCAAACGATGGAGTTGATGAACATATGATTTGGTATCTGATTCTTTTTGCTTCAACGTTTCTCTAGCTTTTCCAGCTTCCATATTCTCCTGTCTTTTTTTTCCTCTTCTGGAACAATATGCATGATCTACTTTCAGTTTTATGCTTTCTTGAAGCATCTATAAGCATTTGATTTCTCCCTAACAGTGAGCATGCGAGTTTCTCAGTCAGCGTTATTTTCTGGTCATCAGGTTGATAGGTTTGAAGAATGTATTTGCAAAGCAATTGCCTAATATGCCCAAGGAGTACCTGGTCCGTCTTGTAATGGACAGGTAAAGCCATAAACTCTGCTGTAAGTTTTGTGCCATAAACTGTTTGGCAATTCATGTCACTGATTGCAATTTTATTTATGTCACCTGTTAAATCTTCTCTGGTTTTATTTGCTTTTCAGAACTCATAAATCTGTAATGGTTATCAGACGTAATCTGGTTGTTGGTGGCATCACATACCGTCCCCATGCCAGGTTAGTTTTCATGTATCCACCATGTCATCTCCATACGAAAAAAGTATAAAGTTCATCCTTTATTTACAGTTTTTTGCAGCCAGAACCCATATAAACTCGAGTAAATTGGTTGGATAAACTGGACCAGTGATCATACTCATTCTTTTTACCCCCTTGTCATAGCATAAAAGCAGTTCCTTGACTTCAGTATATTGATTATTTCAGTTACTATCTTGAGATTTGTGGTGTCCTCATGTAGCAATGTTCTTAAATGTATGTTTACTTTATATGCCACTCAGACAGCAGTTCTGACCACATAAATGTTTGTATACTATCCATGGAATGTCTGTTTACATTATATGTCATTCAGACAGCAGTTCTGTCCACATAAACTTGTGTATACTATCGATGGAAAAAGTTTCCTGTTTCACCATCTGCTCATGTTAACCCTCTCATGTCTTGTTACCGCAGCCAAAAGTTTGGCGAAATTGCTTTCTTGGCAATCTCGTCGGATGAACAAGTGAAAGGTTATGGCACAAGATTGATGAATCACTTAAAGCAGCATGCACGTGATGCTGATGGCCTCACTCATTTTCTGACTTATGCTGACAACAATGCTGTTGGTTATTTTATCAAGCAGGTGGGTTGTCTTTGCTTGGTCTTTATTATTTATGGTCGGGTTACTCATAGTAAACTGCTGATAGTTGAATCCATATTGAACATTATACCACAGCAACATGTCATCAGTGTCATTCATACTTCTGATCTTATGAGCTCGTCTACAAGTTTGCTTCACTTGCATTTGCAAAACTTATTCTGGTGTTGGCTCTTTTGTGTGATGGTTGACTCATTTATTCCTCTAATATCACCAATTCTCCTGTATATTGTGTATTTCCAGAAATGATTACTGATACATTTTCTTAATACTTGTAGGGTTTTACCAAAGAGATCTACTTGGAAAAAGATCGATGGCAGGGGTAATGCAAATTCATAAACTTAATAATTAATCTCTCTCTTAGATGAACAAGTCTTTGCTTCCTTGAATCTCCGAGACACTTTTTCCCCCCTTTGGGACGAAGGTTGGGTACATAGTTGCAACACAAGGGTAGGTTTGAGCTGGTATGCAACTGTGCTAATAAGTAATAACTTAAACTTAGCTTAGATCTTGTGATTGAGTGACCACTATGCAAATAAATTGAATGCCTATGTGATATTATATGGTAAAAGATAACTTTTAACTCCTCTTGGATGAAAATGTGGTCCTTCATCAAAGAAACAAAGAAAGTTCGCCCTAGAAATGGTATTGTGCGCCTAAGGAAGGCCTTGCTTGATGGAAGCAGTTCCAAGCAACTCTAGCCGTCATTGGAAATATTGGATTGGTCACCAAATAACATGAGTACATAATATAGAGCCGCCTTCCTCTGTTTTGGATGGTAAATTTCATGTATCATGACTTTTATAGATGAAAATTCTCTTCTGTCTAGTAAACTACACACGTGTTTCAGAAGTATATAGTCAAGACTCAAGACCTGACAAACCCTACACACCCATGATCCGATGTACTTAAACTCTTCCAGCAGCCTTGCTAGAAAAGAATCAACTACAGCATTTCCTTTCTAGCCAAATCTTACCTTCTTGACATGTTCCGGTGAATCATCTAGTTTGCTTGTGTTCCTTTGAATCCAGATATATCAAGGACTATGATGGAGGCATCCTCATGGAATGTAAAATAAATCCTAAACTTCCATATACCGACTTATCAACCATGATTCGTAGGCAGAGATTGGTATGTCTTCTTTTTTTTTTTTTTTGGGTAGAAATATGTCTCCTTTTCTGGATGCTGTGTATGTCCTAGTCCGCTCTCTCTCTCTCCGTCTCAAATATGCACACGCATATGGATATATGCAAAGTAAAAGCAGTTCAATAACATTAGCATTGTTAATAATTCTGTTGTGGCTTTGTTGTAATGACTCAAAACATGTTCCATTACTGACTGTACTCAACATGATTACTCTCATGCCTTCTGTTTACCCTGCAACCTGCATTACAACTTTGGATATATGGATGAAAATATATTGGTTTGCCAAGTCTAGCTACAATAGTATGGACATTTGTTTGCCATTGGTTGTCGTTCGCTGTGTTTTCTTGTCTTGGTATATTTCAGGCTGGTGAAAATCAGTCTTCTTTTTTGGTAATTATAGGCAATTGATGAGAAGATAAGAGAGCTATCCAATTGCCACATAGTTTACCCTGGGCTTGACTTTCAGAAGGTAAGCTGTGACTTCCAATTCAGTTTCTGGTTCATGAACTAAACTCCTCCATCTAAAAGACTTCAATTACTTTTCACTCCTTAAGGCATTTAGTACTATACTCATCTTATCTGAAGTGCTCAATTGGCTCAGACAGTAGGTAGTATTACATTTAATTCTTGATTTTTTTTTCTCAGAAAGAAGCTGGTGTCCCGAAAAAGATCCACAAAGTTGAGGATATCCCTGGCTTGAGTAAGTTTATTGTGTTGGCAGTTTGTAACACTGGATAAATTTTGTTTGATAACATGCATGAATTAATCATTAGAGAACTGTGACGGAATTGTCATAATGACCTCCTTTCAATATTTTGGCATTAACAGGAGAGGCTGGGTGGACTCCTGATCAATGGGGTCATTCTCGGTTCAAAAATTTAAATCCTTCCACAGACAGCACAACTAATATAAAGCACTGGGCAGCCTTCATGCGCTCCCTTCTAAAGGTGAATTTCTTTCTTTGTTCTTCTCTCCTCGCATATTTTGTTCACTTGTGAGTTTCTTCTGATTGTGCCAATAACCGATGGTGATTATGGTGATGTACCTAGGGTTGCTTGCTTTAAGCGGCTTTTAGTTACCGAATTGTTGAAAGTAGGGGAATTTTGTTGGTTTGGTGAAGGGAGAACCAACAACCCGTCAGCGATGACATCTGATAGGAATACTGCATCAAATCTAAGCTGGGACACAGGAATAACTCTTACAGAAACTCTGAAAACGTTCTTCTTAGCCAATGTCTGAAACCCGGACCATTGGCTCTCTTACATAGAGACGTTACAAGCATAAGAAGTAGATTCCTGCCAAGAAACGTATTGATAATGAATCCTTGTTAGAGAACAGAAAGAAACATCTCCTTATTGCATGATGAATTCTACACCCCGATTTTGGGATTAACTGGACCGAGTCAACCCTATTCTCCAAATCCTTGCCTAATGTGATTCCCATCTAATAGTGTAGCTCATACCAAGTCACAGTCTTATTTTAGTAGGGGATAATATTCAGAATATATAATTTGGCCAGACATCAGCAAATAGAGTGGTTGCTGGTCATCATATCAGCAAAATGAATTGCTTCTTGTCCAAATGTCTTCTCTGAGACTGAAGGTTTCCGTGTTTAGCAAGGGTATAGTACTATAGCTGTTTATAGAATAATATATAATTTGGTCACTACGTCAATCCTGTCATAATATCCTGCATATGTGTCATGGGACGGTTCATTTATGAGTTTGCTGCCACTTTTGATTTGTAGAATAATGATCTGCCATTTGCAATCCAAGGCAAATTCTTGATTCAGCCTGATGTTATTCAGATCCACAGATTTATGCTGTACTCCATAATAATTTTCTCGACAGGCAATGCATGATCACGTTGATGCTTGGCCATTTAAAGAACCAGTCGATGCTCATGATGTTCCTGATTATTACGAAATCATCAAAGATCCAATCGGTAAGAAGATACTTTTCACCCTTTGGTAAACAGTAACACTTGTAACAAGCAGTGTCTAGAATGCTTTCCTTGCTTGATGCTCGTTACTACTATTTCTTGTTTGCTCGGTCTGTCCCATACAAATGTTTCATTTTTTATTTCATCATTTTTTTTGTCAGCAGTTTGATGTTGTGCACCCTTTTCTTCTTTTCAGATCTTAAGACAATGTTGAAAAGGGTAGAGTCGGAACAATATTACGTAACCTTCGACATGTTTGTCGCAGACGTGAAACGTATGTTTGCCAATGCACGAACATACAACTCCCCGGACACCATTTACTACAAGTGTGCAACCAGGCATGATCAATCGCGTCATCCACCATCATCTCTCTTAGCCTTTTTCGTTTGCTTGTTGTTGCTAATAATGTATTGGAAATCCTTGTTACAATATTGCAGGTTGGAATCCCATTTCCAGAGCAAAGTTCAATCCGGTCTCCAATCAGGTGCCAAGATTCAGCAGCAGTAAACAATCTAGTGTTGTATGTATATAGACTAGTAATTAAACCCAATGGTGCCCGATGTTTAGCTCCACTGTGTTAATTGGTCTTGTGTTTCAATTGTATGCCCATTGGGAATCAATGTTCTTAAGACAGTAGTCATTAGATACTATTTAACAAGCTGTCTTTAACTCCCAGACATAGAAGCTACGATAGTCCTTTTGCCCTTGCAATCTAATTTGCTCCATTGTTTGTCTTGTCAGAAATGACCATTTCGGTACAACGACTCAATATTAGGGTTCGGATTGCGTTGTCATTAATCTGAATGTCACATCATATTGATCAAACATCTATACGAAATAAGAATATGACTTTCGAGAAAAGCAACAGAAATGGAGGGTAAGTGAAATATGTTGATTCTGATGCTGTAGGGACTAAGGATGGATGATTCAGGTTCAACTTGGAGCTTGATGGCAGCCCTACCTTTTTGCACAAGTAACTTTCCAAGTAGGACCAAGGTGTCTGAAGGAAAACCAACGTATGATTCTTAAAATGAATAAAAGTAAGCAGCAGTTCAAGGCATAGGAAATTGAGAAATGATTTATTATTATTGCATATTGAAAATGTAGGAAAATGATACACAGACAGTCGGTGCATACAGAATTAATTCAAAGTTAATAACTCCCGATTACTTCACAGAAAAATGCCATCTATAGCATCTTTCATTTCTTTTTGTCAACTTTGGGCACTCCAAGATGGGGAAGTCCAGAGGTGTTTGCCGCATCAATACCTGGACCAATTTGCTTCTGCATGTGCGGCATCAAAGTTGAGTTCAACCCATTTCCACCAATGTTGGTAATTCCGTTCAGAGCATGGGGACCTGGGACGGGTACGGAACCGACACTGTATTTATTGGCAAAGCTGCTGTTGTTTATTGGTTGCATGTGTGTAGCTGGAGTCATATTTGGAAGTGGTCGATGGATGGACTGGTTCGTATCCATGTCTGCTTGGCCCCCGCCAGGGTAATGCTGCATCCCCATGTTAGGTACTACCGCATTCGACCTTGCCAGAAGCAATGGGTTCAAACCTGTCACCCGCTTCACCTGTTCTTCAGCCATCTTCACCTGTAAAGTTCACATAATGATACGTTTTTACCTGATAAATATCAGCACAGTGGTTTTCGGTGTCCGACCATAATTTCATGACCAAACATGATTCTCTATTTCACCTGTTACTAGTCTATGATTGGGAAACGGTCATGAAGCTATGGCGAAGGAACTTAATCATACCTTTGCCCTTAATGTTTCGATATTAGCCTTCAAGACCCTGTTGTCAACAGAGGCTTCATCACACTTGTGATTCACATCAGTGAGTCTCGACAAAAGAGTAGTGCGTTCATCCCTGAGCTGACCTACCTATTGCACAGGAACACACCATTTAACCCGCTGTTAAAAAGACGACGAGATATGGTGAACACGGTATTTGCATTATAATAAACCGCACCTGTGTTTCAAGTTCACTGAGTTGCTCTTGTTTTCTTCTTCGGGAGCGTCTAGCTGATTCTCGGTTTGACTTCATCCTAAAAGTATAATCAGCACACAGATCAAAACATGCACATAATATTGGCAAAAAACAACACTATGATAAATGAGGTTTTAACTTTCAATCAATGCGAGTCTTGATAGGTTTGAGGCAGTTAAGAGACAATATATCAGATTTGAAAGTGTGGATAAATTTTAAGAGAAAATTAGCTCAACACGTTGGCCTAGTTGTAATGGGTGTACAAATCTTGGGGACAACATTTCACTTATAAAAAGAAATATTAAACGACAACTAGGAGCTTAATTCGTGTGGCTCGAGTTAATTATATATCGTTGTAAAGCTTTCTGGACGGGGCAACTGACTGTCTGACCTTTTTAGTTAATCAAGTGTTGGTATTAAAACTTTTGATACAACAATTAGTTCATTTCAGCACAAATTTGTATATGGTTAAGATTAGCTACTACTGGCTGATCAGTGTTTACGCATACGAAGACTGCGCTAATTCGAAACTGTTACATTCATGAATTCTGGTTGTGTTTGGATTAGACTTAGGTTTAGCCGTTTAGGGTAGAAGAAATGGCAGAATCCTCAACATTTCACTTACAAAAGCACAAACCAAACAGTTTGTTATGTTCTCCAACTGTGAAAAGCTTGACTAACTAACAAGTTTTTCAGCAAAGATACGCAGGATGGACCACCACCCATCACTTAAAGAGAGATATTACTATCAGATAATAAAAACTTAAAGATAGATAATCGCTACAGGAGAAAAGAATGTGGTAAGCAAACACGGAAATGGTGCAACAGAGAAGGGCAATAATCTTTAGAAGCATGCAGATATCGAAGACCAATGGAAACTGGAGAGAAGCATTTTCAGTACCTCCTTATGCGCTTCACATCAGTAGGACCTCCATTGGTTCCAGTGTCGCCTTCAAGATCATCATCGTCTGAATCATCTCTCGAAGAGCCACTGGTTGTTTGTTTAGTTTGCAGTTCTTGTTTCTTTTGTATTGTGGGTAACGACGGAATCCCAGGTGACCCATGGTCAGCCTCACTCTGTGCCATTGACTTGCTCAAACATGCACCTGTCTCATGCCAATGATATGTAAACAAGCTAAACTGTCAGTTAGACGAGGCCAAGAATGAAAACCATAAATCAGTGGTCAATTTGTAACAACTGTCAACTAGAAAACCATTTCCCCAGTGATCATGGGAGAGGTGAACTCACCCTGGATTTTAACCTGTGGCTCAACATCATCTATAAAAAAATTATATCTTTTAAGATCCAGTTGAAGAACATGAATGCAAGCAAATGATTTTAGTACAAAAACAAACCCAAGTTAAACCACAAAGCATTCAAGTCACTCATAAACCACACACAAAAGCAAGTGATAAGCGGTAACATAAGAAACCACTCCTGTCTACCAGGTGCTGACCTAACAAGTTGATACTCTAGGGAAATATAGACAATTGCCAAGCACAAGTTTAGGATTAAGGGATTTTGGGTAATAGCAGAGAGAGATGCCATCATACATGCTATTTATTCTTGTGCTTGCTCACAACAACATTCAGAAATAACCTAGGCATCTCTTGTACAAATCACATTCCGCAAATCAGAGGATTGGCAAATACCCGCCAGAGATATCATCATATCGACTCCAAACTTTGCAAGCCATTATTCTGATTTCTGACCATGAACACCATCACGGAAGCAGCTAGAAACCTTTTCTGTGAACTTAGAATTGAAAGAAACTAATTAATAGATGATTTTGGACCCGATGTTCATATCCCTTACTACCCACCTACAAGTTAATTCCTTTAGCTTAGCAACATGCGTTTCCATAATTGAATTCTTCACAATGACCTTGGAAATCTATGCAGAGTAGTAGTAGTACTCACCCGGAAGTTGTGATCCCAAGTGAAAATTGTTAGCAGATGGAGCTGGAACTTGATTCTCAGGCGAAAGAGAAAAATCAGGAGGCTTCACAGCCGTTGTCTGCAATCAAACATCCAAAAACCAACCCCCAATCAAACACACAAGACATCGCTAAACTACAACAATTCTACAAAATTCATCCAAATAAAAAATCAACGGGCATATATACCCTGGTCATAGCCACGGCGGCGCAAGCCAGATCGAGCTGAGACTTGAGAAAAGCCCGGTACTCTTCCGAATCGATTGTAGCCATGGGAGCGTGATCCAGCGGCTGAGGAAGATGGTGAGGTTGAGGATGGAGCTGCGGGGGCTGCTGTCTGATCTCCATCACATCGCTGTCGCAATTCTCCGGCTTTGTAGTTGGCGGCGGCGGCGGCGTGGGCGATTGCGACGGCACTGTGGTCGTGCTGTTGCTGGCGGAGGAGGGACCCGAGGAAGGGAATTCCTGGAGGAACCTCTCCAGGTCCCACTCAGATTGATTTCGGTTGATTTCTGGCGCCGGCGTCGTAGCCTGCCAGAAGGGGTCGGTGAAGTCGTCGGCGGAGAAGACGCTGTGCATTTTTTTTTCCTGTCTTTTTTTCGCCTTTTTTTTTTCTTTAGGTTTCGTGTTTCTTCGAGGATCAGAAGTGGTGTCCGTTTTGTAAGTTTATAAAATTTAATCACAGCCTTTAGATGCAATTAAAAGGACATTAAGACAATCCAACGGACCAGATTAGCGATGGCTATTTCCGGGAAACAGACGGTATATATTTCCTATCTGCCGCCGGCTCTGTCGTCCGGCCTATAAAATAGAAAGCAACATCGATTTTCCCTCTCGCATTCGCCTCTCGCATCGCCATGGCGTCCTCCACCGACGACCCTGGATTTACACAACGGAAGGCGAAGAAGAGGAATATTGAAGCTGAAGAAGAAGAAGAAGAAGAAGAAGAAGAAGAAGAAGAAAGCTGTGTGGATCGGATCAGTGAATTACCAGAGGAAATCCGGGTGAGTATTCTGTCCCTCCTGCCCTTCAAGGAAGCGGTCAGGACTTCAATACTTTCAAGTAGATGGGTAGATGTATGGGAATCCGCTGTCACCGAACTGGAATTTGATGCCCCAGAAACGCATCCAGTTTCTCACTCGGCCTCAGAAGATCCATTACTTTCGGAGAAATTGGCCGAGTTAAAAAAATGGGTGAATCGGGTTGTGGCAAAGCAGATGGAAAAGGACAAGCAAATCACCAAGTTGAGGGTTTCATTCGCCTTGACTGATGAAGCCAAATCCGATGAGGATGTTGATCGATGGGTCAAGTTCGCATTAATGTCAGGAAGGCTCGAGTCTCTTGACCTGTCCTGTTTCATGTATCACGGCTGGTACTATCGTTTCCCCTACTCCAGGGTGATCCAAACTCCAGATAGGTTGCCCCACTTGAAGCCCCTCAGATCGTTACGATTGAGTTGTGTTATTGTCCATGGAAAAATTGTTGAATACTTGGTCTCTAATTGCCCTTATCTTGAAGAAATAGTCCTAACCAATTCAGGCGGACTATGGAAACTCAGAATTGCTGCTTCGGGTTCATCACCATCACTTGCATTGAAGCGGTTGGAATTGAAGCATTGTGGGACTCTAAAGTCCTTGGAGATAGCCGATGCCCCTTGCCTCACCCACTTAACGCTTCTGGCTCCTGAGAAATCTGATAGGTTGGTTAAACTGAGCATGAAAAATTGTGTTGCTCTTGTGGCTGTGAGCATAAGTGTTGGCTGTCTGGAACCCGATTTCGCAATTGATTCCATCTCCAGCCATGCTGCTCAGTTGGTGTCCCTTACCATGAAGATTGACCCACGGGAGATTTGTTTCTCTCAAGTGGCCGACGAGTTCACCCGCCTCGAGGTGGCAACCACAGTTTCGTCGGCTTGGTTACGTTGATAAACGCCTGTCCTCGATTGCACACATTGCGATTGTCGATCACCATGGTTGGACTAATGCAGGGGGTGTCAAACCCGTGTGTCAATAGAGTAAGTCGCCAGAGCATCAAAGTGGTGGAAGTTATTGGGTTTGATGGTTTTCCATTTGATTCCGAGTTTCTGGAGTATGCGCTTGACTACTTTGTGGGGTTAGAGAGAATAGTTCTTAGCCGTTATGTTAAGACGGATACTAAAGCCAAAGAGCGTGCATTGGCTTTCAAATCTAGAGCATCTCCTGCCATCGATTTTGTTATAATTTAGTTGTTCATGGATCCACCAGCCTTGTGATGCTATTCTTTTACGGCAAATCATTTGGCAGTAGAGATTCTATAAACAAAAAATGTGTCGTGTTTATTAGAATGTATGTCTATTATGAGAAATAGATGAATTTAGAGACATGTGCTTTTAGTATAAATTATTTTGAAATTGAAATTATAAAAAGTAGATGTCGTGTGACATTTTTGGATGGCGGCCAAATCAATAACCTAGTAGTATAAATTTTTGTAGATTAATAAAGAATAAAATGAATATTTAACCAATCAATTATCTCAAACCCTCTGTATGTTCTTCCTCTCTAATTCTCTTAAATTTGTTCTTTCCAAACCCAGATTACATTTCCTTTGATTTCTATCAGTTCTCTTAAAACCTCTATATTCTTTGGTACCAATTCTCTCTCATCCCATAGTCTATTTATTTCTCTTTGTCTAATTCTCATTTAATTCTATCTTTATGCTAACCAAACTTGAATACCAAGATCCTCTCTCATATGAGGTTGGTCATAAAGACAATACCAAAAATTGAGATAAGATCATATATACACCAAAAATTGAGATAAGATCATATAATAATAAAGTAACTTTCAAGAGCTTTGTGAATAAGTCTTTCTTAATTTTCCTTTTCTTTCATTACATATAGTAACTAAAATGCACATTGTAGGAGCTTGTCTTTTGTCAAGAATATACATAATAAATTTTATAGGTAAAATGGTATGCTATGAAATGATTAAGAACAAAAAAATTGTATTAAGTGTAAAAAAATAATAATAAAGCAAAAGTGAAGTTATACAAACTTCTTTGCTCCTATGTCCTGATGAAAAAACGAAAGTTCATTTAAATTAATATTCTCTATTATAACGGTTGGGATGTAGTTGTAAAATATATTTAGTTTGTGGGTCAATTTGTAATTGGGTCATTTATAAATATGAGTCCTACCCAATAATATATAGAAGTTCTTGGCTGGAATCTCCTTAATTCGATATTTGCAGGCCTCTTCGCAAAGCTAGAGAGGGTTGCTTGGTAATTCCATATCTCCGCTAATTTTTATTTAATTGCCAATTTATAGATTAAGTGGGTGTTGTGGTGATTTAATCATTTTTTATATTTTAATTATTGATTTATTTAGCATAATTAAATATTAAAAAAAAGGAAGGTGAATCCACCAATAACAAACTGACACATTAGATGGTTGGAGCTTCTGTGTCCAACCAAGGTTGGAGCTAAGAATTTCTCGGTGTCGTGAGCTTTGCCCATAGGAATGTGAAATAAATTTAGTAGCACCAATTATATATACAGTTATATTCATCCCTAGCATAATCAGTATTCGATTTCTTTCCCTTTTTGATGGTTATGATTTCTTTCCTTCCAATAATTAAAGAAGGAATATTTTCATTTCAAACATTTCATGGTGGGAAGAGATGGTAAAAGCCGTTGATATAGCCAATTTAATAACGTCAACCCATATTTCATCACATTTGAAATGAGATATGGTTAAAATTCTACTATTGGATGGCAATGATGGTTAAAATTTGTAAATATTTTACCATTAAAGTTTTGCTTTAGTAAAATACAGAAGAAGAGAAAAGAGTTTGGTAATTAGGGGTGTTCAAATGGTTATCATGGTAATTATCAAATCAATTAAGCCTAAATTCGATTAACAATGGTACAAAATATCAAAACCAACCGACCAAACTTATACAACAACCAAATTACCAAAACTAAAGTTTAATTGATTTGATTAATTGGTTAACCGGATTAATCAATATAACATTACATTAACATTAGGCGAGAAAAAAATATCCCAATAATTAGGGGTGGACATTGGGTGGGTCTGGTGGATTTTGACCATAAAATGCACTCACCCGCGCTTAAACGGATTGATAATTTTTAACCCACCATCCACACACATTTAGTCTCGGGTTGGGAGAATGGTGGATGAAACGGTGGGTTTGCGGATTCACCCACATCATAATGTGTATAATACAAAAGAGTCAACTTGACATGATAATCGGTGGAAAAAGTTATTGGGTGGAAATAAGAAGATGGAATAGGGGAAAAAATCTCGAATAAGTTTTGAAATTTGATAAAAATTCTATTATGGTTAACCGGATTAATCAATATAACATTACATTAACATTAGGCGAGAAAAAAATATCCCAATAATTAGGGGTGGACATTGGGTGGGTCTGGTGGATTTTGACCATAAAATGCACTCACCCGCGCTTAAACGGATTGATAATTTTTAACCCACCATCCACACACATTTAGTCTCGGGTTGTGAGAATGGTGGATGAAACGGTGGGTTTGCGGATTCACCCACATCATAATGTGTATAATACAAAAGAGTCAACTTGACATGATAATCGGTGGAAAAAGTTATTGGGTGGAAATAAGAAGATGGAATAGGGGAAAAAATCTCGAATAAGTTCTGAAATTTGATAAAAATTCTATTATGGAGGAATTTCTACATATGGAGATATCAAGTGCAGGGAACTAAGAAAAAAATAATTCAACGAAGGAAATAGAGGTGATATAGACACAAGAATCAGAGGAAAAAATAAAGGGAAGAAGAGGGGATCGCGATTTGGAAGATTGGTTTTGAGTTTCAATCCCCAGGAGTAGCCCTTGTTTTCGTCTAACATCTCCACTCTCCCCTCTCCAGCACCAACGACTTTGTTCTTTTTGCTGTTGGGTTGAGCGTGTCACCCGCGCACCCACCCACCACCCGACAGATGGCTCCCAGCGCAACCCGTCACCCACCCGCAGACCCACCCACATAACGAAATTCAGGTCAAATGCGGGTGGGTCGACCCAACCCGCGGGTGATTCGCTCGCATGCCCAATCCTACAAATAATGCATCAATCCGTAATTTATATAATGAATAAATCGTAACGATTACCACAAAATTTCTGATTCATATAAAATTGGACGTGGCAAAGGAGCACTTCTACCATGCTATATAGTATTGATGCTTTGATGTACAACTTGAAGTTGTACCATAACATTAAATGTATAAGTTTAGGTTGTACCATAAAGGAATTTGTATCATTATGTTATGGTACAACTTTACAACTTGAAGTTGTACCATCACATAAAAGTACAAGTTCAAGTTGTACCATAAAAGAATTTGTACAAAAAGTATAGGTACAATCTAAAATTCTACCATAACGTTAAAGGTACAACTTCAAATTGTACCATAAAGACAAAAACCTATAACACCAATACTATATAGCATTGTAAAATTGCTCCGTGGCAAAGTAAACTACTTCTCTTGTTTGACGTATTGGTTGAAGAATAGTGATTGGTATCTTATGTGTAGAAATGGCCAGGGATCGAATGCCACCTTTTCTCCCTTTAAAAGGGAATTTCATGTAGATTCAAACCATGCTATGTCCATTTTTTAGTTTATTTTACAACTTAAAGGCTAATTTCACTAAATTCAAGTTTTGATAAGTCCAGATTTTCCAAAAAATTCAGTTTATTTCACATATTAAAGGGAAATTTCACACTTTTCATGTGATTTAAAACTTTGTATGTCCATTTCCTCTTTATTTCACATTTTAAGTTGAATTTTACGTAATTTTTAATTGAAATTTTATCGTGTTTTTGTTTTATTCTTACGGTTATAAAGTTATAATATATTTGAAGTTTCAATTACAAATCATAAAAGTAATATGTTGCATGATAAAATACTTCTAACGAGATATATCATGATGTTCAGATTGTACATAATTGTATGCATTTTTTGTATAAAATCTTATCGATAGTGAAATTTTTGTAGCAAAATTTTTTATTGGCCCCTCCTACAGAAAAATCTTGGCTCCGTCCCTACCCACCGCCGCATTGAACAGTGGAACGACGGGCAGGATTCGGAGGAAATCTCAGCGTCGAAGCGTAGACCAATGGGCATGATTCAGGGGAAATCTCTTATGGCAGATCTACTCAGTTGTGGACAACACGTCGAATATGAGACATCCCACCACGCCGGCGCCGATTCATTGGATGATCTTGACGGTTACAATTCCGGCGACGGTTTCAATCTACAATTTCTAGAATCCTGGAGCCCAAACGCTTTTGCCGGTTGCAGAGACAAATTCAAATTGGCACCGTATCGATAAGTCTTTCAATTTCCTTCCTAATTTATTATAATTATTATTCGTTTTCCCTTAAAATTTAAACTCGTTTACCTTTACCTTCCTTAGTTATTATCAATTATTAATTTATTATTAGCTAGTTTCAAGTATCGGCTCCTTTGGGTTCCTTCAATTTCCTCCATTTTTCATTACTTTTCTTTTCCTATACTTAAAAAAAATAAAAAATAAAAAAATTGTCATTGTTTTGACGATGATAGCTTTGGATTCGGAGTATCCGACTAACGCTCAGTGGCTTGTTTAAGTCCAGTCGGTGGAGCTTAGTTGTCCTATCGTAGGGGCGCTTGTGTGTTCGTTTGTTTTTGCAGGGCGGGTAGTTTTCCCTAAAAAATACAAGCCTCCACTCTATATGCTTCTCGATAGTGAAAGTTGCCACGGGCCAACCATGGTGTTTCAGTGAGATAGGATGCCTCTATGAGTTTTTGTTGCCAAGTGTTACAAATGGCTTCTGAGCTTGTGAGGGGGGAGCAGGTACTGCTTTTGTGGGACACGACAGTTCGGGTACGATCGTGTTTGGCATGGGTAAGTTCTATGAAGGCCTTCCTGACTCTTTTCTTGCGAATATTTTGGCCTTACGTCACTCCTTACAATAGTGCTTATCACATCATTTCTTTTTCCTTAACTGCCATGACAATTCTCTTCTGACTATTCGGCGGGTGTTGGCGGGAGATACTCAACATGCCACTGGAGGAGCAATCCTAGAAGACATTCAGGCTGGCCGGACTTTTGGAGTTTTGTTCTTGCTTCCATGTTACTTGTTAAGTTAATAGAGCAGTCCATTTTGCGGGCCCAAAACGCTCTTTCATCAGAAGTTCGACGATTAGTCGACTTCTACCCGTGGTTAATCTTTGTACTCTGACTTTGTTTCCAGTCTTTGGTCTGGTTTTGACTATGTTAAAAAAAAATCACATTGCAAAACAAACCTCAGAGAGGTAACCGAGGTGCAGATTTCATAGTCCTTTGATTAAAGGGAATCACAAGGATCCACCCAGATTGGAAAGGGCGGACTTGAAGAAAAGCGAGAAAAAAACCCCTTCATCTGATTCAGGGATACTGTCAAAAAAAATCTGATTCAGGGAGAAATAGCAATTCTAAAATTTTAAGCTTTGCCCTGACGATTAACCATTGAAAAAAGAAAACACCCAGCGGGGGCAATTACTGTGCACCTAGATACATTTCACTGTACATACAGACTCAAGAGTAGTGTTTCAACTCGGAAGGGACTCGAGTGTGGGCGGGTGCAGGGTGGTCACTGGTTGAGTATTGATGGGATTTGCTTGGTTTGGTTGCGTCTTTACCATGGTTTGACATCGTTGGGGGATTTGGTCACTTGGATCCTCTGCTTCCCCCTCACCCGAGTTGATCACATGGCAACTATTTGCCCCTTGGAAGACTGAGCCCAGAGAGGCAGAGATTGCTTTTTGCTTGAGATGATCGTTGATTGAGCCCAGAGGGGGCTGGAGTTGACGCATGGAAGCAGCGAGGCCACGTTGGAGAGAGGGAAGCTGAGGTCAGTCTGCACTCTACAACCAGCCAAGTTGCCGCCTCGGTCCTCGGACCTCATGGGAGGAAAAAGCAATGCCCATGGTTGTCATGCCGGTGGCATGCCACCCGGTTGAACCTGGTTCAACCTGTACCGGTCATGAAACCGGCATGACACCACCGGTATGACCGGTATGATCGACTTACGCATTTTAAGTAAAATGACATCATTTTAATGAATTTAATGAATAAAAATAATAATTTATTATTCATTTTATGAATGTAATAGTTAAAAGTTGATGATATTTGTTGGATTGTAACTAAATTGTCCACAAATATGTTTTATATATGATTAAATACATTGGATATTAATTGTTTTCTCATTTTTGTAGACCGGCATGAACCGGCACAAACTGGTTATACCACCGGTCGTACCATTCCACTTGCCAAACCGGTACAACGGTATAAACCGGTTTGACAACCTTGGCAATGCCCAAATTTTCCCTGACACCCAGCTCACAATCCCATACCTCTCTCTACTTTCTTTACTCTTCTCTTCTCTTCTCTTCTATATCATCTACTCTTCTGATTTCGACACCAATTTTTATCCCTTTCTCTCTCCGTCTTTCTCCCCTACTCCTAAAGATGCTCGCTCGGGAAATCGCCCGTTCTTCTTCAGTGATTACAGACAACAGCTTGCGGATCTCGCAACCTCCGGTCAGCCTCTCTATAATAGGCTTCATCCTAGACCGTGGAAGACCATCGAGACGAAAAAGGCTATCTAAAGCTACGTATCTGAACTGGGTTTGAGAACCAACCGTATCTGTGCCGAGAAGGTTAAATACCTGGGTGTATAAATGTTTTGTGTATAATATATGACTCGATTGCTTCCCCTGATCACCAGCTTTGTCGATTCTTTCCGTTTTGTAGGCTTAAGTTGCAGTTGGAACATCAACGATGATGGTGGGCGGTACTCCAAGAAAATCGAGTAGGGAGAGGTGGGGAAATTTCAGACCTACGCGGGCTTGGAATTCCGCCGGCTATTTCTCATTTCCACTTATCCTCACCTAGATGTGCGGGTTCCGGTGAGCTGTGCCTGTGAGCATCCAATATTTAGTTTTTTTTTCTTCTTCCTCTTCTGTATGTGAATTGTGATTTCATTCTCTTTCCCCTTCTACTTGCAGATCTGCCCAACTGATTGAGGATCCGCATGGTCATTATCCTGGCGTCGTCTTCAGCAGAGACGAAAACGAGAGATATAGGTGAAAGTTCTTCTCTCTCATCGATGGCTCTATTTATATTATTTCCCCTCTCTCTACATCTGTTATCTTAACCAGTTTTCTCTTTTCTAATATATGGCGTTTGTTTGATGCTTTTGAGGGCGATCCTGTGTTTTTTAGAGAAGGGTGTGAATCGGATGATTTAACGGAACACGCACTAGGAAGTTTACCGTGTGCAACATGATTTGCTATTCATCTATTTATTTATTATTGCTTCTTTATCTCGCTTTGGTAGTTTTTCCGATTCCTCTATGTTTTGATGTTCTTCTTGCACCTTCTGTAGATAGCTCTCTGTGATTTCTCGCCTCACACGTTTAACAGAGGTAGCACCGGTGCGAGATCCATTTCACTGAGGTAAAATATTTTAAGTTTATGTTCTGTTGTCTTTGTTGGTTTCGTCATTACGAATGCCTATGTTTAAGTTCATGTTGCCTTCTTTGTGGTCTCCTAACTCCAATATTGATAGTTTGGGAAATTCTGCAACTATTTGATTTAGCTGCTTTTCCTGTAATTTCTATCCGACAAGTCTACTTTCAGTACCATGAATTGATGGTTGCCACTTAAAATAAGACAGTACCCTCTATGTCTATTGCAACGTGGATCATGGAGGAGTTCCTCTGCCTCTGTTGCATTTTGGATGTCATATAGATTGCTTGCTATCTTTTACAATCCTCTCTTCCTCCTACTCTTGAACTATCTTTCCTTCTGGTTTTCGACACCCTTGCAGCATCAGGAGGGTGAAGAATTGGGATTTTGTTTGGTACGGTACCTTTTAGGTTGAGGAAGAAAATTCGGTGGTTCTGCTCCTATTGATATGATACACTTCCTTTTATGATTTCCAGTTTAAACTCTATTGCTGCAGTTGTGGGATTGCCGGTTGAATAAACATTTGTCTGTTTAAGACCTGAGCAAATTGTGTTGGAGAGTCTTACCTTACCTTGCAACTTTTATTTATTTTCTATAGTTATTTGTGCTCATTGGTTATTCATGCTTATCAATCTGTGTTCCATTTTGTTATTTGCAGGGGGTGAATTTCCTTCATTGATGATTTGGATTATTAAGATGTTTGCTTCTATGGTTTATATATATGAGGAAGCTTTTCCATTTTCATTGTCGAGAGTGTATTTTGTACTGAACGTTTGTCTGGATAATTGGACAATGGTTTCATGTTTGCTATGTGCTCTATAAAATTCTATGTCATTTGTGAGTTCCATGGCCTGTAAGTTTGGTTTCGGTGTTGAATGCACCTGCTGATAAACTTTCTTATTTGAAATGTTTATGTTTAAGTAACTCTTTGTAATTAGGTATTCTATGGTGTGGCATGTAAGACAACCTTTTAGCCAATGGTCTACTACTTTTATGATTATATCTTGATTAAAAAAATTGAATTTTAAAGAACTTCTCAACATTTTCCTCCTTTTACTCCAAAAATGTGCCTCAAAGTTGCTTATTAAAAAAAAATTACCTACTCTTATGCCAGACTTAAATAAAATTTAATTCAAATAGTCAAAGTACATTTACAAAATCAGCTTTTGACAATTGCAATTCCCGCTGCGGAGCGCGGGCAAGAAGACTAGTGTTTATTAAGTTGGCATTGGAGGATCAGAAGACTAGTGCATTGTTATGTAGATAGCCTTTTGAGTGTGTAATGGTTACCACTAAATTTTCCATAGGAATTAAAGGTTATAATATCGTGTCCTTGCTTAAAATTCGGTTTACTATTAGTATAGATGGATATATCTCGCTAAAGAGTATTAGAAGTATAGTATACTTGAGGAGTACGCAAGTCCGATTCTACTAATTGCATATATTATCTTATTTTAATATTATTTTTTAATGATGATATTCTATCAATCCACTACAAGTAATTTAGAGTAGTGAGAAAAAAAAAATGTTGAGAGGCACTCTCTCCTCTCTCCTCTTCTTCTGCGCATGGTTTGGGCGATGGTTGTGGAGGTTCTCCGTCTCCTCTGTGATACGTATCTAGAGATGGAAGAGGATAATGGGCGATTGGCCTGGGCCCGGGACTGGCACCCGATTGCGGTGGGGAATAGGTCCTCGAACACGGTCTGGCAAAGGGAGCGGCGAGGCGAGGTGATTGATCGTGTTCCGAATAGTGCTCTTCGGGAGACTCACCGACTGGCGGCCGTCAGGCCTAGCCGGAAAAGGAAAACGACATAGCTCCCGGATTCTGCTCCCAATCGAGTGAAAAGAAGAAGGCTTCGGCCAAATTGGGGTTGGCGCTTCTGGCTCCCACCCCCGTCAGCTCTTGAGGAGTTAGCTCCTGGGCTGAGCATCCACAAAATTCAAAAAACGAAATCACGGGTGATGTGTGATTTCGACATACCCCATGGGGTGCAAAATACTCGTTCGGAGATCCCAGCAGTGGATCGGAATCGGACTGAGTGTGCTAATGAAGATCCCTTAGGGGAACCTAGAAACCCTCAGCCGCCGGGGCAAGGAGGGGATATGGTGCATGTTGATCCTCAGATCCCGACAGGTTCCGGGTCTCAACGGGTCACTGTTCCGGCGGGAGGTGCTGCCCACGGTGGGCCGGAAAAATTGAGCATCTCTGGTTGGAAAAATCCCAATCCGGGATTCTTGGGTTTGTTACCTGATTTTTGGGGGGAGAAGATTCGGGGGAATAACCGATCGTTCAAATCCAACCTGGAAACTAAGAGTTCCACTCCAACTCTAATGGGAAAGAAGGAGGGGAGGCTGGCACGGCTCTATATTAACTCGGTGCTGCATCCTTTTAGCAGTACCAATTCCCTCTCCAATTTCGTTTCCCGTTGTGCAGACCTTGCTGGTTTCGTGCAGGAGAAGCCTCGGCTACAACTCTAGAACTGCAAGCAGGCCAGTGACAGTTTGCCAGGTATGGTGCCTAGTTCCCAGAACTCCTGGTCACCCCCCTCTGTTGCTGATATTGCTATTGTAGCATCGCTACCGACAACAGACTCTTCTCCCTATAATATTGCGAATGTCGAACTGCCTAGTGTTCGGTGTTGGGCTAACACTATACCCCTTCCCCCTTTGCAGGACTCGACGATGACTCGCATTGCAGATGATCAGGTGGTGCAATTCACCCTCGAGGAGGTGCAGTCGGTGAAATTTCGAGCCTCCCGTTCATTGCTGGGGCGGCTATTCACGGACTCCATCACTACTCCTGCGGATTTGAGGGAGGCGCTGATCGTTCCATGGCAGATTAAGGGCCAGCTTCGAGTGTCTATTACAAAGCATGGGCTCTTCGAAATAGTGCTGCCAAGTGCTGAAGCTAGGGTTTGGGTTCTGAAGCAAACTCCCTGGGTGGTATTGGATGCCATCCTCCACCTACGGCCTTGGACCTCAACAATCACCTTGAGTACCTTCGAGGACCTGCCAAGTGCTGAAGCTAGGGTTTGGGTTCTGAAGCATGGACTGTTGTACCAAGCAATTTGGCCAGAAACTGTCGCATGGTACCATTGGGCTAGTTCTCGAGTCAGGTGTCTTCGCTTCGAATGATACCAATGAGCAGTTTGTGAAGGTTCGAGTGCTGATTGACTTCACCAAACCCTTACGTTCCCAGATCATGGCAGCTAGTGAAGAGACTAGTACATTCTGGGTGAATTTGAAGTATGAATATCTCCCGACTCTGTGCTTTCATTGTGGACGTGTAGGGCACTTGAAGCGTGCCTGTTCATTCGATCCTCCATCGGGGAAAGAGAGGTATGGCCCGCACATGTCCACACGTAAAATTGGAAGAAGGGTCTATGAGCAAGAGGATGAGCATGCGACTTTCAGGAAGAATCCCACTTCGGTGTGGGTAAATCGGAACGTCCAAGCTGTCCAGGAGGGAGGCAACTCGAGACCAAAGGAGGCTGCCCCAAAAATGGATCGTGGCATGGGGAGACGTCGGAAACAGGCACAAGACAGACAGGCGGGTCAGTTCGAACGTAAGCCTTCGCTGGAGGGAGAACGTAGGGTTCGTCTAGAGGAATCTACTGTCCTGGATGCGAACTGCCCAATTAAGCCTTCGGGGCGTCAGAATAGTCCGAGAGGGTTCTTGTTCAAGGCATCCCCTCGTGTGAAAATTGGGGGGGGGGGGGGTGCAAGATATGTGGCTCTACCTCTCCGAAAGTGGCTGGCCAAGATCCCGGAAGTAAGAAGGCTGGGCGTCGCCTTTCTGGGGGCCGATCGAAGTCTAAACTGAGCTATCGGGAACCAGTTATGAAGCCGGACGTGATCTTTGAGGAGACCCGTCGCCGACGCCTCATCCTCGAGGACGAGTCCGAGGAGGAATCTGCTGAGCAGGGGCTGCGGGGGGACCGCGTTTCTGTTCCCAAGGGCAGCTCTGATGTCCCTCTGCCGACGGAAAAAGGGAAGGAGGTCGAGACTACTGTTGGGGAGCGGATGGGGATGAATGACAGTAAGCAGAAGGAGCGGTTGGCTCATGTGAGTTCGAAATTGCAGCAGCTTGCCGCGGGAGGGGATTTGGGGAAGCCTATGGCGGTTCGCCGTCGGCTGAGAAAAAGAACCCCGCAGATGCCATAGTCGGATTCGGCTTCTGGGCCGATCTCCTCTGGCCCGAAGGGGAACGCAGGTGTGCAGCTTCTGGAGGTCGCCGAGCAGGATGGATGGCAGTCCTCGGGTGAGGAGCAATCGTTCGAAATCCGAAGGCGCTCGCCAGTTGGGGACTCTTGCAAGACATACTTCCCATCAAAGGGATGGGTTAATCAAGTTGTCGAGGCCTTTGAGACTGGCTTGAGTCTAACTAAGGATGATGTTGCGTCAAGGCCTTCCCCTAATGGGCCTCTTATGCGCAATGGCAAGGAAGGGACCCGCCAGGTGACTGAAGCTATGCCTCATGAGCAGTTGAATGAATATGGTTCCAACTTCTCGGACCCATTGATGGGGAGTCGCAAGCGTGGTTTGGATGAATTAGGGGGGGGGGGGGGGGAGGAGGTGGGAGATCCTCCTACTCCAAAGAAACAATTTGTTGAATCAGCTGAACAGGTGGAGGAAGCCAGCCTTGAGTGGCCCCAACCAACCAAATGAGGCTTCTGGCTTGGAATATGAGGAGAATCGGGCCTTCACTCACATTCCAAACTGCTGTCGGTTTAATTCGTTCTAATAAACCGGATCTCTTGTTTTTTTCGGAAACTCGATCGAGCCGGAGAGTAGTTACCCGTCGTATTCGGGGTTTAGGTTTTGATATTTCTCGCTGTTTCTTTGTTGATGCTATTGACGCATCTGGAGGTTTAGTAGTTGCTTCGGCCCCCGGGGTTGACGCTTCGGTGTTTTTTCATTCCACTTTCTGTATTTGTGTTCAAATTAATGAAGTGGACTTTTCTTATGTGGTGGTTTGTGTGTATATTAGTTGTGATTTGGCTATAAGAGCTTCCCAATTAGCTCAACTGCGTGAAATTTGTGATACCATCCACCTACCCTTCACAGTCATTGGTGATTTTAACTCGACCCTTCAGGCGGGCGAGAAGGATGGTGGATTGGTTTGGAATGCAACTCAGTCGGTTAGTCTTCGGGGGTTTGTTCAAGAGTTGGGTCTTCATGATCCTGGGTTTCAGGGTGATCCCTTTACTTGGACGAATAAACGTATGGGCACAGCTTGTATTCGTGAGCGCCTGGACAGAGCTCTGTGCTCCCAGGCCTGGATTGACCAATTCCCTGAAACTCTAGTTAAACATTTTACGGATCAGGGCTAAGACCACCGCGCCATTCTCCTCGCTGACAAAGCTTATGCTCGTAATGGTAGACCCCTTTTCCGGTTCGATGCTCGTTGGGCATAAAACGCGGAGGTCAAGGCCATGGTCCGCTATGTTTGGGCAGAAGAGATTCATGGATCCCCTATGTTTCGACTCTGGGAACTGCTTAAGAAGCTTCGACATTTACTCTATGATTGGAGTAGGGCAGGGACTACGAACTCTCTCCGGAACATTAATACACTCCAATCAGAGATTGATCGCGTTAAGCGTAGCCATCCTATTGACTGGGATACGATTAGGAGTTTGGAGTCTGAGCTTTCTCGCCAGTGGGAGGCTGAGGAGATTTACTGGCAGCAGAAATCTAGGGTCCAGTGGTTAAAAAAAGGGGATAAAATAGTTCCTATTTTCACACGGTGACGCGCGCTCGCCGGAAGCGAAATTTTGTGGCTGGGCTTCATAATGACAATGGGGAATGAGTTACTGAGGAGAAGGGGAA